TTTTTTTTTTTTTTGCTGTTGTTTCTTGTAATCTTTGATTTGAAGCCTTTGCTGTTAATGTGCTGTGTTCATTATTACACGGCGGGTGACATTCAAAACATAGAGTTGTAAAGTTTGTGTATCCGTACTCATGCATGACTAGTAGGTTGTCAACACTCATCTTGACACAGTGAAAAGTGCACACTACAGGTGCTTTAATGAGTACGACTGCCAGTTCTCCAACATCAGTATGAGCCAACGAGAAGTATGTAAAAAATAATGCTCTTTGTAATATATCTGAATCTACTTTGTGCTGCACTTTTCTGTACCCAGAGTAAGGCCAGTCAATCTCTTTCCAATCAACAGCTATAGTGTTTTTAAAAAAGGATTGTTGTGTACGGTATTCTTTAAAGTATATGCTCCCTTTTCCTTGGCTCTTTGCATTTTTTTCTTTAAGGGAGAAAACAAGTAACTGTTGATGGTTTAAGCACAAGAAAGTGACACATTGATGCATGGGAGAATCAGCAATTTGTATAAAAAGGCATTAATTGCTCTGGAAGTGTTACAAACATATGTATGTTTCAATTTTTTTTAACTGTTATCCTTTTATTTGCAGAAAAACAGCCCCAAATGGTATTTTTGCTTGTCACTGTGGAAAAAGCTGGGTTTGGTTTCCACAAATAACTTTTTTTATTGAAAGCCCATTACAATGCATCATTTGACTTCCTATTATGAACAAATGTTTTTTCTTATTCTATGATACACTTTACCTTGTTGTCCTTGATTTTCATTTAGTGATTTATTTCTTTTATGACTGTAGAGACAAAATAGTTTCTTTGCTGTAGTGAAACTGCTATGAATGTGAATATCTATTGAAGAAATAAATGCAATTGCAATGCAACTTCAACATTCAGTCCTTTGGTTTACTTTGGTTTGTTTTGCTGTTTCCTAGAATCAAAAGGTGCCACAAAATGCCCTTCAAAATGTCAGCTGATATTTATAACAGTTCAGTGTTTTGTGCTTCTACAGAAGCTGTTGGCCCTCAGCAGATAAAGTGCCATTAAGGCAGAAAGAACTGGAGGACAACAGAGAGCTCTGTTCTAGTAACTGCTGCGCTCTAGTGTGGCAGGGGTGGAAAATGTGCTTTCAACAGGCTTCAACCCTGTGGTTGAACTGCTAGCGATGCTTCCTCTTGCCTTCTCTTGTTTTGTCTGCTTTTTTTTACCTCCCCCATTTTTTTTACATGTGCATGCACACACCCACATTTACACAGCACATCTCATAGTTTATTCCTTTAGGAATCATGCCAGTTCTCTCCAAATGCATCTCATTCATTTGCAGCCAAGGTCTTACCATCAAAGAACTCCAGTCTTCTATGAAAATCAGGCATATCTGTAATGACTTTGACAAAAATAGGCTTGGTGACACATACGTCTGCTGAAATAATGAAATGACATTGAATCGCCCAAATAATGTGAAAGACACTACAATTATCTGCCAAACAATATTACTCCATTCAAGTTATGTATCGGAAAACCCTTTCATAGGTTTTCATCCTGTATCTCATAGGTTTAGTCGTATAAATGCAATGTGATGAAAATGTCATGGAAACAAGAGCGTTTAGTTCCCTTTGGGTGCAGCAGCCTTTAGTTTCTGTCAAATACCTAGATTGACTATTCAGGCTTTCACTACTTCCACCTTATTGTGCCTTAGCTGAGCCGTAGGGAGGCGGAAGGTACCAGTGACGTCGGTTTAGTGCCTGTTGGTGCTTAATTGATCGGAACCTGGCAACCTGACACTGCCAGTCGTCTGGTGGCTCTATAGAAATGGAGTTTGTGTGAGCCAGCACGATGACGTCAGGATGGAGAGGGGTTGTAACCTCTATTTGGCAGCTCCTTACCAGACCACACTCACTCTCTCAAGCAGCAGCAGACCACTCAGAAGCAATGCCTATACACAGGCTTTCAGGCCTCTTTAACTTAGGGGAAGCCTACACACACTAGAGGGTATTTTTTTTATTTTAGTTTCCACACAGTGGATTTGAAATTAACGGAGTTAACTAAATTAACTTAATTATTAATTAACTAAAGTACACTTTTAGGTTGAAGACTTTCAGATTGTAAGGCTTAAATAAAATCTGTATTGGATGAATAGTGTCAGAACTTGGAGCCCTTTTTTATACATATAATCCCAAAATCTTCTGCAATGGTCAGGACAGTGATCTAAAATTGGGAGATTCTTGGTATTTATAAAAAAGAGTACAGCTGCTACACAGCTTATCCAATGTGGATGCTAACCTGCAAAGCTGGGAGTCAGCACCTTCCTCTCTTTGTTTCATTTCAAATCCAATAATCCAATAATTACATTCTAAGCACCGAGGCAAATATGGGAGGTGAAATTATTTCTGTTTCTATTTTTGTTTGAGATACATTTAGAGGCATTTGTGTGTGTTTTTTCAATCATCCATGGTGGAAAGCACCAAGCAAAACTTGGAAAGCAAGAAGAGGATGACATCTGATGAAAGCTGTAGACTGGATTCAAACCCAGGACATTGCATGTTATGCAGATTAACACACCAAACAAATAGGACCACCTCAAAGGGACTTTGCATAATTGTCACTGTGCATGCCCATTTCCTCGATATCCAGCCTTAGACTCTTTAGACTCTTGAACTGTGGTTCCAAAGTGGCTGTGTGGATATGGTGCATTGTGTACTGTTTATTACTTTATTTGTATGTGTAGAAACACACTCGGCCTGGTACAGGAAGCTCTATGGAAGTGAATTTGGGAAAAAAAACTGAAAACTCTGGAGAAAAGATGAAAGTCAAATTCCTTTATAGAGAGAAAAACATAGACTTTAGAGAGAAAGGACAATCCCTATGGCTGAGCGAGCTGACTAATGAGTAAAAATCCTTCCATCACACCAAACATTAATCTGCTCATGATGCAGAATGCCTACACAAGGTTGAGAGCAAGTCTGACCTCTAGTGGTCATTTGATGCATTACCAGAGCTTGGGAACTTGATTAGAAAGAATATTAAGATAAAAAAAACAGCATTTTGATATAGATTTCTAAGGTCCTAAAACTAACCACAGCTAAAATCACTGTTAGTGGTGATACTACATGCAGTCTGAGGTCAGAGCCCAATAAAAATGCAACACTTAAAGCATACTTCTTACAAAATAAGCTTCTCTTTGTTTGACTGGTTGGTCAGGCTCTCCAACAGACTCTTGTCATCCTTATCTGGAAGACACATCACATACAGAGAGACAAAGAATTAGTAAAGTATTATAATAACTAGTAATTAGTAAAAAAAAAAATACACCTTTTTTGTATTAAACCATCATTCCACTCCCCTCCCTCTCTCCCTCCCTCTCTCAAAACCTACCAAATATCACCAGGTTGCAGGAGCACTTGGCTGTCCCCAGAGGGTTCTCCAGCACCAGTGTGTATTCTCCGCCATCTTTGGCTCCACAGGTAGGGATGACCAGGGTGCACACTCCGTTAGCTGTGCTCTGCCAAAACCGAGGGCAGTCAGAGATCTTCGATTCCCCCTTATACCAGCACGCCTATGCAGGGGAATAAACAGTATTATTATGGGGCACACGCAGATGTTTCAGGTAGATGCACCACGCTGATATCAGTGACCATGTTCTTCATACCTGTGGTGTTGGCATGCCCTGATAGGCACAGCTCATGCTGCAGTCATGGCCTCTGCATACAGCGTGATCCTTCAGTGGCAGCAGGAACGTAGGTTTCACCTGACGTGATGGTGCGACATATTCCTTCAACCGAAGACTGTTGATGCACTCTTAAATAGACATACACATACAGAAACAGATACAAAAAAATTTGTCTTAATAAGACATGCTGATCAATAGTATAATGCCGTAATTAAACATCTTTCAGTCACCTTTCTCCTTAGCGATGATCAGAGGTTCCTTTGAGTCCAAGGGATCACTGTCTCCGATAGAGTTCTGTGCAATGACTCGGAAGTAGTACTTCCTTCCAGGAAGCAGTCCAGTGACAGTGTACTTGCTGCTGAAGACACGCTCGGCCACAGTGAACCAGGAGGCAGTACTGGTGTCACGTTTGAGGATGACATAATGTGCTCCTTCATCGTTGTCAGCCAAGTCTGGAGTGTGATCCCACTGCAGGGTTACCGTGCCCGGAACCTCCTCTTCCAGGCGGAGGTTCTTTGGGGGTCGAGGAAAGTCTGAGGAAAGGAAGCGAGCACAGGAGGGTAAGAAGTGGAAGAAATTTTAGTTAGTGGTTGGTTAGTAAATACAGTATATAAATACACCATACAATTAAAGGCTAGATACATATAGAATCAAGCCTCCATCATTTACCTGTAACACGGACATTGACATCATAGTGAGCCTCTCCATAGTCGTTCTTCAGGTGCACGCGGTAGATGCCAGAGTCAGAACGCCGCGAGGAGGAAATGAGGAACTGGGAGTGATTATTGCTCTTGGTGATGACTTTCCCTCCTGTAGTGATCATGCCATCCTTGAACCAGGTTACCACTGGGGGAGGTGAAGCCTGTAAGTGTGTCAGATGGAAGGATTGAGGGGTAAGAATTAATTTGATAGGAATAAGGGATAGGATGATCAGAGTCTTACAGTGAAGCTGAGGTGAAGGCAAAGTGCGGTTCCGGCTCGGACTACCATCTGGTTCTTCAGCTTCCCCTGGAGATCAAACCTGGGTGCCACTGCAAAGGGAAAAAATGCGTAGAAAAGAGAAAATTATATGGAGAAAAAATGAAAAGGGTGACTACAAGAGAATGCAGTCATATTACCAGGTGGAGGCATGGCCAGGACACCCTCTAGCAGCTCAATGGGCTCCCCCACCCCTCCTTCATTGACAGCCCGGATACGGAAATGGTATTTCATCCGCTCCTTAAGTCCTCCCACATGGAAGGCAGTGCCAGCGATGGGGATCTTGGTGGCCTTCATCCACTCTTTAGCATCTTCAGGGCGAACCTCTAAGATGTAGCCCGAGG